ATCTTGAATTCTTCCTTGTGCTTTGGCTTCTCTGCGCTCCAGTGCAATCTTCAGAGTTTCTTCTGACATCCATTTTGGTCTTTTCTTCCTCCTCTGTCGTTGTAATGACCTTTTATACTCTTCCTGGATGAGAGATTAATCCTGCATCATTACCAAAACGAATACCACTTATTCTGCATTTGCATAACTAATCCTCATTAACAGAGAGGCCCCAATTTACAACACATACTAATTGCATTATATAGTGAGGGAATGACACCAGCATTCTGTAACTGCCAAACCACAGAAGCTGATGTACATTGGAGGGCCCATTGTCCAGCCCCGGCCAGCTTCGTCTCTCCGCAGGCCCTGGGGGCACCCTGTGCAGTCCTGGTGATAGCTCTCAGCACCGTGATGCTGGTTCTTGAAGCTGCCCTCCCCCAATACAAGACCTCTTTCTGACTCACAAGGCAGGTCCTTGCTGCATAGCCTGAGACCAGCCAAGCAGGCTGCCTGTGGCCAGATTAGACAGGAGACGCCATACAGCACAGCCACACACCTTACCTGGAGGTGGGGTACAGGTATTCCTTCATTAGGGAGCACACATGGACGGTGGCACACCTCATCCACCGCAGGTCCTCGGGGAGGGAGGGGAGCCACAGCAGCAGTCTGCGGAGGAGACCGAGACCATCACCAACACATGCACATGCACACACAGGAGGACACCCAGACACGCCTATGTCTCACACACAGGTGTACAGACTCGCAATGTGCATAACACACACCAGGGTGGACACCAGGGCGGACCGGGATGTGATGTATGTAACACACAAACATCACACACACAGGCTGACCTAGAGACCCAATGGATAACACACACACACACACACACACACACACACACACAGGGAGTCACAGATGTGATGCATGTTACACACAGACCACATTTACACAGGAGGCACAGACCCAAGTTATGTAGCAAACACACGGACAAGATGCATGTAACATCCCCCACACACATACACACAGTGGGGCACAGACCCAATTTATGTAAAACACACATGGACAAGATGCATTTATAGCGCGCACACACACACACACACACACACAAAGACACAGAGATTCAATGTATCTCCCACACACAATATACAGGCAGACACAGAGATACAGTGCATTTAACACATATACCACACCCAGACAGGGGGTACAGAACAGATAATGTCACACAAACACAGAAAGACATCTTGGCTGTGACACACACACACACACACGTGGACACATATAGTGCATATTCCACACGTACAATGGACACAGAAGCACACGATAGAGGGACACTCAGACACAGCATATTTTACATACAAAGACATAAAACAGACAACACACCTGACGCATATAACACACACATGAAGAAACAATGCACAAAGACATACAAGCCACATAATACCTACAGAGCCATAAAAACACATACAGCACATGTAACACTTATACGGTATACACACACAGAGACCACGCAGCTCACACGTAAAGACCCTCCACCCAGTCTCTGAAGTCTCACCCTCCTCACCCCAAGGCAGCCTCTGACCTCACATCTTCTAAGCCAGCCTTTTCAGCCTTTGTGCAGCCCACAGAATATTTCACCCTCTCGGCCGACACCACAAACAAAAGGCCACAATGTTTTTCCGGTCTTCTTCCTTATTCTTGTCACGTTTTCTCATGCATCCAAGGCACTTGACAATGGCTTGGGTCAAATGTACCTTAGTTTCTTAAAGTGAAATCTCTGCTTCAAAATCCTTGGCTACAGGTTTGCCTAATGTAACATATGATCTGATTCCAAGTAAAGTGAAATCTTTGACCACATCAATCTTTTCTCCAGCTATCATGACAGTGCCTTACAGATCTGGAGGAATTTTCTTTTCTTTTCTTTCTTTTTTTAAATTATTATACTAGTATATTTACAAAATTGGAATACATTGGTTTTTAGACCAGATTCTTCCAATTTCTCTCACTCCTCACTATCAAATTGTACAACCCATGGTTGATTCACCCTCACCCCTCACACACTCATCCCTCGGCTTCCACCCTCCCGCCACACCCCCGCCCCCGGATCCTCATACTCATTCTACAATAATGGTTTGATACAAAATTTGTCCTTACGGGACTGAGTTAGTTCACTCAGCATAATACTCTCCAGTCCCTCCCAAGTAAGGTAATAATTAACAAAGCCATTGCTCCTGCATGCTGCATAGTATTCCATTGTGTGACTGTACCATAATTTCTCAATCCACTCGATTGTGGTTGGATTTTCATTTTCTTGATTTTGAGCTGTAACCTATACTGAAGGCTGCATCTTTGATCTTTTGCAGGTAAGTGTTTCAAGTCCTCACTTTCATGAAGCAAGTCTGTGTCATGTACATAATGCAGGTTGATGATGTGTCTTCTGATCCTGATGCCACAATCCTCTTCATACAGAGATGCACTGTATCTACCACACACCACACACTCATGGGCAGACAGTGTGTAAAGCCCCGCTTCTCAGGAGTAGCCCAGCAAACAGATAGAACAGGTGCACAGAAAGGATACACAACACCGATGCACAGCTTTCCTGACTTTAAACCATCCAGTGCGCCCTTGTTCTGTTCTGACAGCTGCTTGCTAGTTGATGTACAGGTTTCACAGGTAAGTGATGTGGAACTCCCACTGTTCAAAATGTTATTCAGAATGTGTTACAAAACACAAATCAAATCAACATCTTCCTGGTATTCTCTGTTTTCGGCCAATGTACCTGAGCGGTCACAGCTTTGAAAACCCTCTGGAGCAGCTGTAATGTGCAAGCACGGCTCACTGGGAACTGGAATAGACTCGGCTCGACTCCAGCTAACAAGAAGAATCAAAAAACCTGCGACAGCAGCGGGAAGGAGGTGGGCTGGGTTGAACAGAGATCTCCGTGGCTTACTGAGCTGCAGCAAACACCGCTTAGCTGGTTTAACCAAGCGTGGAACGGCAGTTAAAGCCTTCCGCCACGAACCTGAAAGTCAGCAGCTGGAATCCACTCGCTGCTCTAGAGAAAGGTGAGGCAGCCTGCTTCTAGAAAGATCTGTAGACTTGGAAACCCTGTGGGACAGTTCTACTCTGTCCTGGACTGGGAACCAGGTGTGTGGGATGCTGGTGGGGCAGACAGAATCGTCCACGCCAGAACCTAAATGACCAACAGGTTTGGTTTTGGGGGGATTTTCGGTGTGCTTGGGTCTATGGGAAGTCTGTACAACCTGCTTAATTTTCCTGGAAAAACAAAGCTGCTCTAAAAAAAAGAAAGTCTATTTAAAAAAGGGGTGAAGGAGTCACAAAAGGACAAATATTACATGATGCCACTGTTGTAGAATGGGACTGTCCTTGGGGTTGGGGAGAGACTGAGTAAGATGGGTTCAATAATGTATACTGCACTGAAACAGAGGAGGGAGAAAACTGTTTAAAAGAGATATATAACTAGGTATTTCTGTCATCACAGGAGACTAGAGCGAGGGCTACATGGTGGAGGGGACCTGGGGGAGGGTTTGTAAAACAATGAAAGAATCTTTTCTTTTACTTTTCCATAATTTTTGGACTCATGTACTTATAACTTGTTAGTCAAATTTGTGTCTTCTAGGTTGCAACACCCCCATGATACATCTTCAAGGATATGAACTTGTACGGCCAAGCACAATCAATAAGAGTGCATCTAAATTCCAAAATCAATCTCCATAATAGTCTATGTGTTTCCTACTGCCAAAGGGGCCCTTTAGAGTAGTGAGAGAAGATCTTCACCCTGAAACCCACAGCGTCCCTTTTCAGCAGGAAGTAGCTAAGAGAATACGCCATTCCCTTTTCCTTATGACTCAGGGTGAAGTCTCTCTCAGGGAGGAGTGATAGGGAATGGCAAAGGACACACTGACAAAGAAGATTAATCAGAACTGGCTTTGACAAGCACTGTGGCATTTGGACAAGAACAAACTGGGAGGAGGGTAGAGAGAATAGTGCAACAAGGAATGAATGGAAACCCAAAATCTCTGTAAATGTTTATGAAAATTAATAAAATATAAAAAAAAAAGAAAAAAAAAGGGGTGAAGGGGGATGACACAAGCCTGCGACCTTGCTTCCAGGCCTGGCCCTCCGACTCGCCAGCCCTGTGACCTCAGAGCTGTGACACAAGCTTTCTGGGCCTCAGCTTCCCCATGTGATAACCAAAGGCTCGAGCAGACACGGGGAGGTGACTGCCAGCTCCCTGCTGTCACCAGGTGGGTAGGTGACTGGTCTTGCTCCAGGTTTCAGGTGACCACGGGGTGATAGGAGAGCAATTATCAGGGCGATCCGTACCGGCCAGAGCTTCCAGGGCATCCAACTGTCCAGTGAGCTGGTCCCTGGGCGAAGGGCGTTCCCTGCAGTACCCCACTGCGCCCTCCCGCCCCTCATGCCACCCTGATGAAGAGGAGACAGCGGGACGCACGCTCTCACCTGTGGAACCACATGATCACAGTCTCCACAGGCAGGGTACAGAGCAGCAGCAGATGGGACAGTATCTTGATGGGTAAGAAGCTGTAGAGTCTGCTCATGTAGCTCCTGTTCTCTCTGATGACTTGATTAAGAACTGGAAAGAATTCACTCTGAGTGCGAGTGCTCCCCACGGACGACAACCCACCTCAGCCTCGGACAGGTAGGGGATCCCTAGGAAGGCCACTGACCCTGGTGGCCACCGGAGGGGAGGGCCGGGGCTGTGTGTGCGCTGTGCTCTTTTCATAGCAAAGGTGACTCCGAGAGAGAGAAAGAGACCACAGCCAAGGAGCACCCCAGCCGGCTTTCTGTTGGAGGAGGGGGCCACAGGATGGTCAGAAATAAAAGAACTTGATGACACTGGCCCAGAGGCGGCCCAGGGCCACAAGGCTGCAGGCCAGCCAGAGGCCTGACTGTGAGGACATCTGGGAAGCTGTTCTGACTGAAGAAATACATCCTGAGTGTTTTTGAACTGAATTGCAACTTGTTACTTCCTAATACTGAAGAGCAATGAAATCAGTTTGAAGACTAAGGTGTGTCTGATTCAAGACATGATCTTTTTCACTACTTGTTAGGTATTTGAGAGCTGGAAAATGAATAAAGATGACAGAAGAAGAATTGATGTCTTTGTGCCTCAGAGTTGGAGAAGATTACTGAATAGCCCATGGGGTGCCAAAAGAAGAAATAGGTTTATCTTGGGGTAGGTGCAGACAGAATGCTCTCATACTTCGGACATGTTGCTAAGAGAGGTTATTCCTTGGAAAGAGCTATCGTGCTTGGAAGGGTGGAGGTCAGAGATACAGAGAGGATACAGTGAGATAAATTAATACAATGACTGCAGCAATGGGCTCATGTCTAGCAGGGATGGTGAGGAAGGCACAGGAGAGGATATGATTCAGATCTGTTCAGCGTCACTATGAGTTGTACTCAACTAGATAGCACCTAACAACAACTTAATAAACCCCATAATCATGAGTGTGGAGCCAGGCAGACTAAAGCTGTGAACAATCTCAATCTCTTCACCATCCATCCTGATGCTGCCAATTGGTCCAGTGGTGAGAATCTTTGTCTTCTTGACATTG